GAAAGATTATTTAAAGAAGAGGAAGCCTACATTCATGGGTTGGAAAATACGATATTGTTAGTATGGGAATACTCTCCAACCTTGATCTACAGATTCAACGCAATTCCTATCAAAACTCCAGCTGCTTTTGCAAAAGTTGATAGGCTGATTCTAAGATTCATATAGAAATATAACAGGAGGGCACCTGGGTGGCTCAGTCGGTTAAGCGTCTGCCTTCGTCTCAGGTCATGATCCCCGGGTCCTGGGATCGAGCCCCGCATCTGGCTCCCTGCTCGGCGGGGAGCCTGCTTCTCCCTCTCCCTGCTGCTCTGCCTACTTGTGTTCTCTCTCTAGCTCTCTGTCAAATACATAAATAAGATCTTTAAAAAAAGAAAAAGAAATGTAACAGGACCCAGAGTAGCCAAAACAATGTTGGAAAGAAGAACAAAGTCAAAGGACTTACTTACTGGGTTTCAAAACCTGCCACCAACGCTAAGTAGTCAAGATAGTGTGGTCCTGGCAGAGGGACTGACCTATAGGTCAGTGAACCATAATTAAGAATCCAGAAATAAGTGAATACATTTCTGGAATGAATCGATTTCTGACAAGGGTGCCAAAACCATTCAGTGAGGAAAGAAGAGTCTTTCAACAAATAGTGCTGGGACAAGCAGCTATTCACATGCAAAAGAATGCCGTTGAACCCCCTTCCTCACACCATACACAAAAAATTAACTCAAAATGGGTCACAGGCCTGGCCCGAAAGCAGGCAGGCCCGATGGGGGTCAGCAACGAGGGCAGGAGAACATGGCACACACAGCCACATTGAGGCCTCACCTTTCCACTCTGACTGCTGCGTTTCCCGCCACCTCTGACCCCCGAGGATCATCTACCCTGGGGTACAGATTAAAAAGCAAGTAGCAATTGGTCAGGCGAAGAACGGCATTGAAGCATTTCCAGCCAACAGGTGCTTTGGAGGATTTCGGAAAGGTTTTGAACATGACAGTGTTGAACTGAACTGCAAAACGAAATTTGCTGTCTACTTACCACCAAAGGCAGAAACCGGAAAATGCCCTAGTTTAACTCGAACAGAACCAAATTTTATATGAAAGTCGGGTTATCATCAAGCTGCTTCAGAACGTGGCCTTGTCGTCACTGTCCCAGATATCAGCCCTCGTGGCTGTAATAAAGGAGAAGGTGAGGGCTGGGACTCTGGCACCGGTGCTGGGTTCCGTGTGGATGCCACCGAGGAGCCTTGGAAAACTAGCGACAGAACGTACTCTTCTGTTACTAAGGAGCTTCCCCAACTCATAAAGGCTAGTTTTCCGGTGGACCCCCAAAGGGTGTCTATTTTTGGCTACTCCATCGGAGGCCATGGAGCTCTGATTTGTGCTTGGAGGAATCCTGGAAAACAAATCTGTGTCAGCATTTGCTCTAGTTTGCAACACAGTGCTCTGTCCTTGGGGCAAAAGATCAAAGTAAATGGAAGGCTTATGATGCGAGCCATCTTGTGAAGTCCTATCCAGGTTCTCAGCTGGACATACTAATGGATCAAGGAAAAGACCGGTTCCTTTCAGATGGGCAGTTACTACCTGATAACTTCATACCTGTCTGTACAGAAAAGAAAGTCCCTGTTGTTTTTAATTACAAGAGGGTTATGCTCATAGCTACTACTTCATTGCACATCAGACATCCTGCAAAATTACATGAATGCATGAAAAACTTCAGGTAAGAGAATTTCTTAAGGATTATAAAATTGTTATGAACAGATTTGCAGGGGAAAAGTATTTGAAAACATTGGATTGCACAGTGCTAAAAATACACAGATGAATCACAATTGGATCGCTTTCTGAATAAATCTATAAAACCTGAAAAAAAATGGTTCACAGGCTGACACATAAGAGCTAAGAGTATAAGACTCAGAAAAAAACACAGGAGCAAATCTTTGTGACCTTGGCTTGGGCGATGGTTTCTTAGCTATGACACCAAAATACAAGCAGCAAGAGTAAAAACAGGCCAATTAAACTGTATCAAAATTAGTAACACATAGCCGCACACAATACCCAAGAAAGTGAAAAGACTGCCCAGAGAATGGGAGAGTCTTTGCAAATCGTATTTCTCATATGAGATTTGAGTCCAAAATATAAAAAGAACTCTTATAATTCTTGTAATTTGTATTAAGTTGTAAGTCATAAGTTATAACTTCTAATTCGATGATAAAAAGGCAAACCAATTTTAAAAAAATGGGCAAAGGACTTGAATAGACATTTCTCTGAAGACAATATATAAAAGACAAGTACATGAAGAGACGCTCGACATCCTCAGTCATCAGGAAAACACAAGTCAAAACCACAATGAGACACCACCTCACACTCAATAGGTTGGCTATCACTGAAACAGTCAGTAGTAATTTTTTGTTGGCAAGGATGTAGAGAAGAAGGAACCCTCACAGTCTGCTGGTCGGAATGTAAAATGGTGCAGTCACTTTGGAAAAGTCTGGCAGTTTCTCAATAGCGTTCTAGGACCCAAAAATCCTACTCCTAGGTGTACACTCAAGAGAAATGAAAACATGCGTCCGCACGGACACTTACATGTGAACGTTTACAGCGTCATCATGTGTAATGACGGCAACAACCGAAATGTCCACCAACTGATGAACGGGTTCAAAACCTGTGATCTGTCCACACGACAATATTATTCAGCTACAAAAGGTAAATAGTGACACATGCTACAACAGGGACAGCCCTCAGAAACATTATGCTTGGGGTGCCTGGGTGGCTCAGTTTGTTAAGCGTCTGCCTTGGGCTGGGGTCATGATCCCGGGGTCCTGGGATCGAGCCCCACATCGGGCTCCCTGCTCCACGGGGAGCCTGCTTCTCCCTCTGCCCCTGCCTGGCACTCCCCCTGCTTGTGCTCTCACTCTCTGTCAAATAAAATCTTAAAAAAAAAAAAAATGATGCTAAATGAAAGAAGGCAGGTACAAAATGCCACATAGTGAAGGATTCCATGTATATGAAATGTGCACAGCAGGAAAACCCAGAGAGACAGAAGTAAACCAGTGGTTGCCAGGGGCTGGGAGTGGGAGAGCAGGCAGGTACTGCTCTTGGGACATGGTTTCTTTCTGGGGTGATGAAGATGCTCTCAAACCAGAGTGGTGCGTACTTCACTAGGGTGAATCTTGGGATATATGAACCCCAGTGAAGTCTTTTTAGGAAAGCAATTCAAAAGAACCAATACATGCTTTAAATTACAATAGAGGTGCACTGCTTGAATAAGCGCTCTTGCTCTCGGCAGATTTGACACCTGCAGGCAGCCGGTGACAGCCACGGCCACTGCCACAACAAGGGTTTTTAATCACAAGGGTCGCAAGAGGAGGTTTTATCTTACTGTGATTCTTTTCCGACCGATTAACTATTATGTGAAACTCATGAGATTTAATCTCCTGCTGCTAAGATAACGAAGATAACAATATAAATAAAGCCATTAAAATAAAACGGTTACGAGAGATCATTTCGGAATTCTGAAACCGTTCGTCCAGGTGACCGGGCTAGGTGACCTTCTCCGCGCCAGGCTGTGCTGGGCAGACACAGCTGGGAGAGCGTGTGGTCCGTGTGCCAACCATCACAGGGCGGAGAGGAAAACACTGGAAACCCTGCCACCAGCAGCAGGGACACGTTGGAAGACACTTCTTGGTTTTGCGTGTGTTTGCTCAGGGGAAAGCGTGCACACAGTCCCCATCACCACACAGATGAGGCGGTCGCGTTCCCCCACCCCCGGGGGGGAAATCTCAGGGGTGAGCACACCCGCAGTGTGATGGGCCAGCCCCGCCCTGAGAAAACCACCTTCGGGATCTTTGGAAAACACTTCACAAGGTCCCCCAGTAACACGTTCGGGTCTTGCTCCTGCTGGCAGCGCCCAATTTGACCAACGGTCTCTAAATAGCTGTACGTTGTCCGTTCCCCCAAAGACGTTATCTAATAAACAGCACCTACTATTTGAATGAGCAAAAGACAAAGAGACACAGTACTACCATTCCAGAACGGGAACATATTTATTTAAACGTGCCAGAAGTCCAGGACCACCCGGCATCATCATTCGGGACACTCTACCACTTGTCATGCTTCCCTTCAGAACATACACTGCTGGAACACACAGGTGAGAAAACACGTTTAGTGCAAAAGCATTTCTTATTTCCAATCTATATGTTACACTTTATAGCTTCAATTAAATCAGAAAAATTAACTTGAGGTTTACTTGCCTAACACAGTAAGTCGAAGGTAACTTTAAACGGGAAAAACATGCAGCACCGGAGGCCCTCTGTGGGCGGCTCCGTGGGCGTGATGGACGTCAGGACAAGTCACACGGCATATGACACACACAAACATGACACGATGGCAGAATCATCGTTCGGAGGTCATTTGAGCTATCGACATATAAAGATACGTGTTATGAAAAACCAATCTGTAACACTGCACAACTGTACAGCAGATAGCTCATTACCGGTGAAAGCAAATCCCAGAGCTGACCGTAGGAAGAGATCCGTGAGGTGCCACAGCCCGAAACCGGCCGCCCTCCTGGTTTCCTCCGCAGATGGTCGGGTAACTCATGACGGACTACGCTGAGCCAAAACTGCCAATGAGCCAAGTTCATGGGTAGTACAGGGAAGGTCACTTCTAAGCGCCCAAAATCATCTTGAGTGTGAGAATGTTGACAATGAAAGGCATAACGGAGGGAAACAGAGGCAGCTTCTGGCCGCTTACAGTCCTTGCGGACAGACCTTGCACTTGAAGCGGCGGAGGATGAACATCTTCACGCATATTTGTCATAAAGGGTCATCATGCAAGGGGACCCGGGTCAGAGCATCACCTGCCCGCTTCTTCGGGGGCCAGCAATGCTCACGAGGGGGCCTGGAAGGCAGCTCCCCGCTCCCGCCGTGCCCAGCACCCCTCTCTCCTCCTGCCCTTTCAGACTCAAACCGCCAGTCAGCCCCCGAGGAGCTGGTCAGAGCAGACATGAGGGGCCTGCCGCCTCTGGCCAACGCCAGGGGCCAGCGGTGCTGACGGCAGCGGCCGGGCCACGGGGAGAAGCGGCAGGCGTTTGGGAGCCCCTGCTGGGGACAGGGTCGGGGGCTGATGGGAGTCGGCCAAAGCAAGAGACTCTTCTAGAATCAGGCTGGGGGGTCAGCTTGCATGCCCGGCGGGGCCTGCGGCGGGAAACAAGCTGGCCCGAAACAGCGGCTCGGTGCTGCAGGGAAGTTCGCTTTCGTGCCGCGCCAAGCGAGAACCGAGTGCGCACAGCCGTTTTCTGAGGTTTCTGTCGCTGTGCACGCGGCCCAGGCCGGTCTGAGCCCCGCTCTTTGTAGCCTTGGGTCTGCTTATGACTCCGGGTACCAAAAGTCGTGATACTGGACACCACTCTCCCTCCCGCTCCGCAGATGGAGGAGAGAGCACACTTCAGTGACTCTGCTTCTTCTGTGGGAAAAAGGTGTACCTCGTAGGATTGAACTCTTCCCAAATACGCTCAAATTCTTCCAGAAAAAGCCTCACGTACTCCTCATCCTCCATAATCAAAACGTTTTCTCTGTTGTTCTGAATGGCCTGTGTGGTCCAGTTGAGCGAGCCGGTGATCAGCACCTTCTTGTCCACGATGGCAAACTTGTGATGCATGTAGCCGAGGTCCTGGTCGTGCCGCACCTGGATGCCTGCGGAAAGGGCGAGTCGGCCTTCACCACCAGCGCCCGCGCTCCTGCGGCGACACTGGCTCGGCCAGTGCCTGCCACCCGCGAGCAGCGACTCCTCAATCTGTTTTCCGATTTGGTAGGAAACGGGAAGTCTGTCACCCTCGGGCAGGGGCCGGGGGCAGCGGTGGATGGGGACCGGCCGCCACCGGCGCAGGGGACGCAGTGCCGAGGGGACGGGACGGGGGGACAGAGACAAGCAGATACCGATCTCACACAAGTCGCCTTCCCGCGGAGACAGCCCTGCCCGCGCCCAGCTCTGCCATCTGGGGGAGGTCTGCCCACGCACACTGCTCGAGTACAACCCTAGCAGCACAGTCCTGTTAGTGGTGCCGCGAGGAGCCGGCCATGAACCCGGCCGCGGTTTCCCTGCCTTCGAGCTCCCGCTCTGCCCACCCCGGCACTGGAACAGCCCTGGAAGCCTGGAAACACCATGCACGCCAGGACGGCACCCCACTGCGTACGGGGAGGGGGATGAGCCTGAAGCAGGAAGACCACAGAAGCCAGGCCCTGGGTGCTTAGGGTGAGAAGTTCAGTGTCACTGGAAGTCAGCTGGGCGGGGGGCAGGGGCAAGGTCGGGCCTGGTCCCTCGTGGTGTGCCTGGAGCCTACCTGCTGAAGCACAAAGAGCCCTAACTGCTACAAAAACGAATTCTCCCTTGCCCTGCCTCTTTGGTTCACCAAAGAGCCTGTAACGGTTGCCTTTTGTTTTCCTGTCTCTCTCCTACTGTTTTCAAACTCCCCTAGGACAGGACCTGTCTGTCCGTCCCCCTCTGCACCAACCCTGGATTCATGCCTACCTCAGTGATGAGCTATCTGCTCAGTGAACAAGACCACTGGAAACGGGACTTAAAAGAACAGTTCAAAACCGGCTGCTTTGCAACAGGGTCACCACATTTCATGAACCAAAAAACAGGATGTCCAAAGTAGGATGGGATTTCAGACGACAAATAATTTTTGAAAATAAGTATGTCCCATATTTGGGACATACACCAGAAATTATTTGTGGCTTATCTGAACTTCAAATTTACCTGCGGATTTTGCCCAGCAACCCTGCCTTGAAACCCTCCTATGCCAGGGGACCTGGACACCACTTCCTACTTCTCACCCCCTCCACCCAGCCCACTAGCAAATCCTGTCAGCTGTACCTTCAAAACAGATCTTAATCCGACCATTTTTGGGGCGCCTGGGTGGCTCAGTCGGTCAAGTGTCTGACTCCTGATTTTGGCTCAGGTCACGATCTCAGGGTTGGGGGATCGAGCCTGCATCAGGCTCCAGACTGGGCATGCAGCCTACTTAACATCCCCCCCCACCCCCGGCTCCCTCACCTTCTGCCCCTCCCCCCCCAAATCTGACCATTTCTGCCCGCCTCCAACATTACCACAGCCTCTGCCATCCGGCAGAACACACCACTACACTGAAGTGGAGGAGGAAATACAGAACTCACAGGTAAGCCCAGGATCTGAATTTAGACCCTCTTCAAAATCATTCCTACTTCCCGCTTCATCTGTCCCCAGCCCAGGGGACAAAAAGGCCAGCCAGAGGTCTAGGTCTTCCCCGTCTTGTGCAGCTCGAGGGACAAATTAACTGTTCACCAACTAAACATTTTAGCTGCACGTATTATTTGTGTTCACTTCAAAAGCCCCAGCATGAAACTCACTGGTGCCGTTAAGGTGAAATGCCTTTTTCCTCCTTCAGCCCCTCAGTGGGTTAGCCCAGTCTTTGCCATCTTGGGGCACTTCCTCCTATGCACACAGTCACAGAGAGTCAGCTAGCGGGTGGGCTTGCAGACTTGTTTTTCGAATTCACCCTTCATCGCCTCAGTGCCGTCTGGCTAGGCCACTGTCATTTCAGTCTGCAGTAGTCAAAAACTCAGCTGCCCCGGCCACATCCCCCGTTCTACCTGCCGTGGGCTCTCCCCCCTCCACCCAAGGCCAACACGGGTCATGAGAATGTGGGGAATCAAAAGAGCTCGGTCGCTTCCCCGGTGTCACTGGGCAGGCCCCCAGCCTCTGAGAATCCCCCCCAGATCTTCCTCCACTGGCTGGGGGACACACAGGCTGCTCACGCCCCGGGGGCTCACACTCAGATACCCACAGCACTGAAGCGCACCCACGGCGGGAGGGCAGGTGCTCTCTACAGATGGCCCCGGAGTCTCTCCAGGGTAAAACTATCCTGACCTCACAAGGCCACCACGGGACATAAATGGGGTCACGCCTATCCTCACACCCCTGTAGTGTCCGCCTTTGACATTCCCCCCCTGGGTCAGATCACGCGCCAGGTGGGGTGTGAGCCCCAGGGCGCTCCGCGGACCTGAGCTCCAAGCCTGGGCTCCCGGCCTCTGCGGCCTGGCCTACCTGCCTTTCGGAGCAGGCCGATCTGCGAGCCGTTGAGAGCCATGTAGTCGCAGTCGGTGATGACCCGGACGCGCACCCCGCGCTGGTGCAGTAGCTGCACCGCACGGCCCAGCTGCGGGCTGGAGAAGGCAAAGAGGCAGAGCTCGAGGCTGGCGCGGGCGGCCAACAGGGCGCGCAGCAGGCGGCTGAGCGAGCTCTCGCCGTGGGGGAGGCTGCACAGGCAGCCCGCTGGGGGCCCCGACGGCCCCTCACCCGGGGCCTGCAGCAGGGCCTCGGTGCAGGTCACCTGCGACGGGAAAAAGAGCACCTCGCGCCGCGGCGGCCTCCGCCGCTGTTGCCGGCGCCCGGCCCGCAGCCAGTGCAGCACGGAGGGCAGCGCCTCCAGGGCCAGCGCGAGACCCAAGGTCGCCACGGCCGCCACCTGCCACCGTAACCGCTCCATGCAGTCTCAGCCCCGCCGACTACCCGCCGCCTTGCAGCCCACTGCGCCGGCGCTCCCGCGGCCACGTACACCTGCCGCCCCCCACCAACCGCTGCCCAACGCGCCTGCGCCCCGGCCGGCCACGTGGGTGCGGCCCCCTCCAACCCCCCCCCCCGCCACCACACACGCCGCTCACCACGCATGCGCGCCCCGAGCCCTCTACAGCCGCCCCCCCCGCCCACCACGCCTGCGCACCCGCCAGCCACGTGCGCCCGCCCTTCCCCCACCACCCTCCACATACACCGCCCATCGCGCCTGCGCGTGCCTCGGGGTTGCTCACCGCCGCTCTGGGCGGACGCGCCCCACGACCAGCGCCGCACTGCGTCTGCGTGCCCGCTGGCCACGTGCACCGCGCCACCGCCGCGATGGTGCCCGCCAGCCGCGCGGCCCGCGACGGCCCAGGCCCTCCTCCCTTGGAGGGGTGGGAGAGCAGTGCTGACCCTTTCACACCTTCCTTTTTGCTTTGGGTACGGCCAGGCAGGGCCGGAGAAAGGCCTGGAAACACACTGAGAATGTCAAATAAGGAACACCTAGCCGGTGGCAGGGTTTGAACCCACAGTGTCAGAGACCGCGGTGTGACGGGGACGGCCCCAAGTCCAGCATCAGGCCCCTTGTATTTCGACCACCTCTCCCAGGATCAACTTGCTACTTGAAGATGCCTATTCTACTTTAAGCGTAAACATAGTGAAAACTGGGAAGTCCTTCGCCCTGTCTTAGCAAGCACCAGACCCTCTTTCTCTCACTTGGGAGGGGCTCTTCCTTTTCACAGGGAGAGAAAAGAGACAAGAGAGCGTAAGATTTTTTTCCTATTTTTTCTTTCCTGAATCTTGGTCAGGAATTTCCATGGTTCGTTTGAAGACTCTCTGTGGTCTTTGAAAGGAAATGGTAACTCCTCCACGGTCTCCTCCTTGTAACTGGTCTCCATGACTCTTCCCTGTTGCATACAGACCCCCACGTGGGGGGGCAAAGAAGGAGCTGATCTGAGTAACTTTGGAAAATCATGTTTTGACTGGGAACTAGAAAGCTAAACACAAAAGGAACTGCACATAAACACTGCACTCTCGGTACATTTCTTTCCCAAGGGGGGAACTGCCTACATGCCCCCTGGGGTTGAATGGATCAGTAAATCCTTGGCGGATGTTAGGAACTGGGGTTCTCTCTGTTGGATGGCCTAAGAGATAAGATCCCTGTGGTTCTGTACTGCAGTGAGAGATACCACAGTGAAGTCATATTTAGCTTAGGATGTATATTACTATACATCATACGTCAGTTTTGACATACATACATCACATACCTCAGTCCCCTGAGAGGCCCAGAAGCAAGGAGACCCCAGGAGCAGGGAGCATCCCTAGCTCCCAGATCTTAGTTTCTAAACACCATTCTCCAATAAAAGGAACCAAGACTCCTTGCAGAAATAGCTGATTCTAGGGTTGGGCAGGGAAATCGTAAGACGTGTTTCAGGCATCTTGTGTTACCAGAAAGTAAGGATGTGGACATGGCAGCATGACCGAAGGATACAGGGGTAAACCTAAAAGAACCCTCAGTGGCCAGACCTGGAGCAGTTTGAGAAACAAAGTAAATAATGCAATATTGGATTATAACCCAAGCACAAGATAAATATACATGACTCCACACTGATATGAAGAAATGACCGAATAAACAAGAGAGAAGATACAAGTCTTTTTTACAGAAGAATTCCAAATACTATATGTACACATTCCCTGCCACGGGAGGGAGAACTAAATCTCCCTGTCCCTTTGAAGGTGGGCTAGACTTAGTGACTACAACAGGGAAAGGAGAAAAATAAAGTTTACATGGAGAAACTGGTAAACACCACCTTAACCAAGTGATGGTTAACATCACCAGAGATGTGTGAATGTTACGTACCCCTGATATGATATTTTTAAAGGATTTATTTATTTTATTTTTTTAAGGGAGAGAGAGATCAGGGGGAAGGGCAGAGGGAGAGGAGACTCTCAAGCAGACTCCCTGCTGAGTGCGGAGCCTGATGCGGGGCTTGATCTCATGCGCCCAGGATCACGACCTGAGCTGAAATCAAGAGTCAATCGCTCAACCGACTGAGCCACCCAGGCGCCCCCTCCCGATATGATTGATGAGAAGGACACATCACCTCTGTGGTCATCTTTCCCGAAGCTCATAAACCCAGTTCAATCATGAGGAAAAAACATCAGAAATCCAGATTTAAGGACATGCAATCACATTCCACAGGATATCTGGCAAAGGACATGAAAAAAAGCAACAACTTAGAAACTGTAACAGACCAGCAGAGACTGGATCCTGAAACAGAAATTTAAGGTTACTGGGAAAAGTGGTGAAATCCAAATAAAGTCTAGAGTTTAATTAATAGTAATACACCATTGTCTGTTTCTTCACTTTGACAAGTGCATGACAGCGATGTAAGACTAACAGTGAGGGAAACTGGATGAGGAGTAGACGGGGACTCTCTGTGCTACCTTTGAAACTTTTCAGTAAATCTATAATTATTCCAAATTAAAAGTTTATTAAAAATATCACACTTACACCTGCCATCTGATCCAGCTATCTGACTCTTAAATATCACCCAAGAGACATGAAAGCATATGTCTATGCATCTTACACAAAGACTTGCACACAGATATTCCCAGCAGGTTTATGAGTATAACCCAAACCTAGACACAACACCAATGTCCGTCACCAGATAAGTAACCAAACCTTCACCCATCTATATAATGGAATACTATTTAGCAGTAAAAAGAAATAAACTACTGATATAAACTACCACATGGATGAATTTCAGTAAGGCTGAGTGAAAAAAGACAAAACAAGGTAGCTACTGTGTGGTTCCACTGACATGCAATTCTAGGAAATGCCAATAGAATGAAAGTAAGTAAATCAGCAGTTGCCTAGAGACAGTGGGAAGGGAAGAGGGATTACAAAGAAACATAACAGTGATATGTTCATTATCTTGGTGGTGATGTGCATCTGCATGTCAAAACTTGTCAAATTGGATGGTTTCAATGAGTAGAAATTATTGTATGTCGATTATACTTCAATAAAGCTGTTTTTTGTTTTAATAGAGCCCCTGAGTTTAATTCTGGCTCCCCTACTTCCAAGGGCAAATTGCTTTGTCTCTTTGAGCCTCACTTTCTTCATGTGGAATGATGACAAAAATGAGAAGAGGGACTTCCAGTTATGGCAGCATAAAGAGGTTGTCAATTCCTCTGTGCAAAACAAAAACAAAAACAAAACCCCACTACACACACACACACACACACACACACACGACCGCCTCAGGGCACTAGAAATCCACCAAAGGCAGACAACCAAATGAGAAGCATCCTTTTTTACAACCTGCTGCAGGTTAGTATAGGAGCAGCAGGATTCTGTGGCCTTGTTGACAGGCTGCTCGCATCCCTTCACCCTCCCAGTCTGGCTGGCAAAAACGGTAGTCTTATCAATGTGGGGCTGGCTCCAAAAACCTTTTAGGTCTTTAGTTTTGCTAGCTAAAAGTGGTGGCTCAGTTGGGAAGGAATGAGGAAAACCTGTAGCCTTACCAGCCCGACCTTCCAGTCCAAGGTGGGGTAAGCAGCAGACGAGGCAGAAATGTGACCGCAAGATCCAGAAAGTGAGAAAACCATAGAAAAGCTGACCTACACACTCCACCCCTCCCTGGCTAACTGGGGAGCTGTGCAGGAATGGGAGAGGCCAAGGAAAAGTGAAAGCCAATGGAGGTTTGAAAGGATTCCCAACCCACGGACAGATTGCTCAGCAGAGGATGGGAGTGTTACAGGCTTAAAGTATTTGGGTTCAACCTCTGCCTAAATCACTGGCTGACTACTACATCAGGAAGATCCAGTCCTCGTGACCACGAGGAATGAATAAAAATAAGACTTAAAAAAAAACAAAAACAAAAACTAAGCAGGCCCAGTGCCACCCTACAGAGGGAGAGACTGTACACTTTAAGTCCAGGCAAGTTTTCAAAGAAATACAACCTTAGAAAAATAAAATAGAATCCAGAATTGCTATACTATATTATCTAAAATGTCCAGTGTTCAACCAAACTTAATAGACATGCAAAGAAATAGGAAAGTGTGACCAACATGCAGGGAACACAGCAGCCAATGCAAACTGATTTTGAGTGGACCCAGATGTTGGAAATAGTAGAAAAACACTTCGAAGCAAGTCTTATACATATGTTCAAAGAATTAAAGGAAAATATAATGATAACGAATCAACAGATACTCGTTAGAGAGTAGAAATTATTTTTTACAGTCTATGCAAAGCGTCAATTAGTTTCATCAATTGTAACCAACCACTCTGGTGGGAAATGTTAATAGTGGGGAGGCTGGGGCACCTGGTTAAGCGTCCAACTCTTGATTTCAGCTCAGGTGGTGAGCTCATGGTCATGGGATCGAACCCAACATCAGGTTCCACACTGGGTGTGGAGTCTGCTTAAGATTCTCTCTCCCCCTCTCCTCTGCCCCTCCACTCAAGCACGCTTGCTCATTCTCTCTCTCTCTAGAAAAGGAGAACCCAACAGAATGCAACAGCAGAAGAAAAATAACTCATTTTAAAAATGGGCTAAAGACTTGAATAGACACTTCTCTAAAAAGAGAGAGAGAGAGATAATGGGGAAGGCTGTGCATGTGTGGGGACAGAGGGTATATAGGAAATCTGTACCTTCCCCTCAATTTTGCTGCAAACCTAAAAGTGTTCTTAAGAAATTAAGTCTTATGGCACCTGGGTGGCTCATTTGGTTAAGTGTCTGACTTCGGCTCAGGTCCTGATCTTGGGGTCCTGGAATCGAGCCCCACATCAGACTCCAGGCTCAGCAGGGAGTCTGCCTGTCCCTCTCTCTCTTCCCTTTCCCCACTCATGCTCTCTCTCTCTTAAATCAATACATAAAATCTTAAAAAAATAAAGAAATTACGTCTTTTACACCATGCACAAAAATAAACTCA